GGGTCACTATCTAAAGGTCTCCTGAAGCGAAAACAGATCTTTATATAACAACTGATTACATTCTGCCCTCGACCCAGCCAGGTCAAAATCTGTGCTGAACCAATCCAAACATTTCGCGAAAGGCTTGCCAGTGCTTATGTGATGTATAGAGCACCCATAGACGAATCATATCACCTTAGATCGGGCACTGTCATGGCTGCCTATCTTTGCATAGACTCGAGTTATAACCCTTATCTTACACCAGGCACTATAATGGCTGCTAATGTTTGCTCTCTTAAAAAATATCGCTGCACTGATATGCACCACGGGAGTGCAAATAAAGGATAAAACATGTTGCGCTAGTCAAATGGCGCGCTCAGTGGTGAATCGGAAGTACGTCAGATCACACAGTCTTGGATATTATATATCTATGATAACAGCACACGAATGATAATATAAATATAAGGCTATGGCAGTGTGGTTTACGACAAATGGTGAGTCTGAGTGCGTTTGCATCCACTATCGTTCAGTTGTCGGCTCACAAGACAATTGCAGAATATCGCCGGCGTGTTGGTATGTTGTAATCCTGTGTCACGACGTGGTGAAATCAAGCGGACGTTAAATTTAGGGCATATTATGAAGTTATTGGTATACACGTTGAAGCTTGTTCATTTGCCCTGTTTTCTTTTTTTAATAAAAAAAATACCCATCTTTCTTACATAGAAGTCGAGATATTTGCGATTGACGGAGGTGTCAAAAGCTTCCAAAGCTTGAGTGTCTTTACCATAAATTTACATATTATCTTGTGTGTCTTTGATCCAAAATTTACATATTTTGTGTGCTTTTGATCCACATTTTTTCCAGTAAAATTCACGCTGCCACGCGGTTGTAAGCAGATATAACAAGCGTTGAGCGAAGAAGAAAAACAATTCGTAAAAAATCGTCCAAGTGCGGAAAAGGTCCGTCTCTTTGAGTTCATTCTTTTGACGAGGGTCTGATTTCACCACGATCAAGATGTCGTCCTCCGTTGTGGTAGAGAGGGATATGAAGAATGAGGTGTGGATAGAAGGAAACATATAAGGACATATTATTGGAACGATAGATAGAAGGATAGATAGAAAGATAAATAGAAGGGCATAATATAGAAGGACAGATAGAGGGACAGAGAAGGGTATAGATAGAGGAGGGGATAACAGGATAGACGGATAGTGGAGTGATACAAGGAGAGACAGAAGGACAAATAAAAGGACAGACAGAAGGGTATATAAAATGTTAATCGTAGATGGATGGCTAGACAGAATGCCATAGAATGAAAGGCTCAGGTATAAATTGACTGTCATTCTCAGCAATGGTAGCGAGGGATATATAGAATGATAGATAGAAGAATTGATGGAGGGGTCGACAGAGGGATATATAGAAGGATAGAAAGATAGATATATTTCATATAGAAAAATAGGTTGGCAGCCGTTTTCTTTCGTGCTTGAGAGGTATGGATGGAGAGATGGAGATGTATACATAACGGGCTAGATAGAAGTGTATTATATGGGACTTTAAAAAAAATTGTCTTTGTCCCCATGCTTTTTTTTCAACACAGAACCTTATGAATACTTAAGAAATACAAGCAAGTTAAATATTGTTGTGCATTTGTATAGGTTTTTATTAACTGCATGAGAAGTTTCAACTCGTCTTTTCTCTTACTTCAAGAGATATGGGGTGCTTTTGTAGGTCAAAGTAGCAGAAAAGCGCACGTCCCAGTGATTAAAAAACAACAACTTAAAATAGATAGATTTAGTAAACCCGTTTAATCATGACGATGTTACTTCTACCTTGTTTTTATAATGCCATTTACATCCAATTTATAAAAGAATATCGTTTCTACACCCAATTTATACAGAATCGTTTCTATCTCAATAGCTTGGTGCAGCTGACCTCGATGGGTGTTGCAGTGCATGTTCCCAGTAAATCGTTTGCCTCTCCGTAACCGACAGTGTTTCGCTTCGCTGATGTCAGTTTCGGACTTCCCTGGATCTTCTTTGCTTTCAATTAAAGTTTTCTCCTTTGGTTACACCCATTCATCAAAGCAGATTTGGAGGAGAACTATGCAGAAGCATCCTCCCAGGAGGAGTTAAAATGTGTCGAGTCCAAAGGAGGACACATAGACCGTTGGTTCTCGGAATTCCAGAATTCAAAACAAATATTTAAAGAACTCTGTAGGAGAAAAGGAACAGCCTACTGTTTAAAGGTTTCAGGCAGGGGCGGCTCGTGGGTCTAAAAAGTGGGTGTGCACTAATTAAGCTATCTTAGGTTAAAGATAGCCAAGGGAATAATATATGAGATGGTGTATAATTTTAGGATCTTTGTGTTGGTGAGGGAGAACCTTGTGATTCTATTTTCATTCTTTTTACTTATGCCTTTGACTTCTAGAACTAAACCTGTTTGTTAGCTAAACGTTAATTTCATTCATCCTGAATTAGAAGTGAACACTCAAGTAATATCTTTCACCACTCCACTATAAAACCGTTCAAAAGCACAACTCATAGGACGATGACTTAAGTATGTCACGTTCACCTCCCTTAGGTTCACGGTCACAGAGTCACTTAAAATAGCGACAAGACAATGAACCAATCACAATTCACTTGAACACTCCGCTGGATTGCTCCGGGGCTCACATAATTTTGGCATAGAATAGTGCACAGTCTATCGCGTTTATTTTTAGATTGCCTACTGTGGGTTATGTTTCGGCACTATTCGGCAGGAGTACATTTGAGATGAGCCGTCTTATTAATATCAATGTACCGCCAAACTCTCTAGAGAGTCGTCATCGCTTGGGTTATCCCAAAGACCGATTTATAGGTCAGGTTTCCACTGTTGAATATCCTGCTATGTTTAGATACAGCGCAGATGTTTAGATAGCCTACAGTGCATGAACATAGCATGGCATAATATATGTTTTACGGTGCTATAGACACAAAAATGACAGTTACGGCGCTAGTGAGAAACGTGTTTTGATATAATATTTGGCTTGTGTTTGTTCTGGCGTTTTTTATTTTATTATTGTAGGTGTTTTACGTAATAGAACATTAAAACATTTTGGGCGGCACTGCACGACCGTGCTCTATGGACGAACTGTGATTGGTTTCAAAGATGGAAAGATTAGATTTTAAAAATCAAAGGAAAGGAAACAATAAACCAATCATTTCATGACTTTCCTTACAAGATCTAATAAAATCGTGCATTTTGCATTGGTGGTTTTTATAAAAGTCATTTCCATTTTCGAAAATAGGTTTCTTCTTTGTGAAGTTTATGTCAAACAAATTCCTTTTGAATGAATTATATTTGTTCCAAATTAAAAAATAAAATAAATATACATATATTGTATTTATATACAGAGAACTTTATTTGTAACAAAAGCTTTGTTGTAATGTATATTTTTGTTTGTAAACGACAGATTTATACATAAACTACCGATTTGTTTGCAAACTAAAGCTTAATTAATATATTGCTTTATTTCTAAAGTACTGTACTGCTTATTTATTTTTTCCAAATAGCTTTACTTATACCCGAACTGCTTATTTTCAAACTACAGCTTTATTTGTAGAATACAGCTTTATTTATAAAGTACACAATATTTATTTGTTAACTAGATCTATAGCTTTATTATTTTGTAAACTGTAAATTAATTAAACTAATTTTCTTTAGTTGTAAACATCTGGTCAGTTAGAACAACGATGCCTGCAAGGATACGTCGTCTAGCGTGTGTGTATGTCATTTATAAACTAAATTTGCATTTTTGTCATAGTACACGTATTCATGTCGTTGTGTCATCCAGGTGATTGAGAGGGTGCCGACACGACACCGACACCAGCACCGACACCGACATGGGTGCGACCAGCGTGACGCCCCCTTACATGTGGTTGAGACTGTGTGTCTTTTACCTTTACTCAGTGCCTACACAAACAGTCTACTGGTTGATGTGTAAAGTCCCACCTCTCAGGGTATTGGCCCAGAGTTTTGTACAGGTATATACACACACACACACACACGCGCGCGCGCGCGCTCGCGCGCGCACGCACAGACACATGTAAATATATAAACA